CAGCAGAGTTGTAAAGTAACTAAGTACAAATACTTTGTTATTGTACCCTGTTCACAATAGGTGTTAATTAGGTGTCAACGATAGTGATGTGAGTATCAGTCACATGGAGGCAGGGCTTAAAAGCCTGAATTTAGCCTGAAACTCTCAGACTGAAGAAGTCTCTTGGAGGAGAGACGAAACGTTTCATTAGAGAAGAACCCGTCCCTCTTGGACCACATATTTCTGTCTTTGTTAAATAAATATTTACCATAACAGAGAGAAGAAATCCTCAAAATATCCCCCTCCCGCTGTAGAAAAGTTACGTCGTGTCGCGGGATCATAACCTCTCCTCTCCTCCAGTTGTTGGAAAAAAAACTTGTTTTTAAAAGTATTTTTACTCACAGAGATGATTAAAAAAAAGACGTGGACGTTCGTTCAGTCATAAACCCATCTTGTTAGGGTTAGGGTTAGGGTTATGGGTTAAATGTAAAGTCAGCTTCTGCTCTGATGATGAAGATGATGAAGATGAGCGCTAGCAGGAAGAAGCTCATTGTTTAGCAGGCAAATACTAAAGCAGAAATGCTGGGTTTGATTATTACAGTTCTCTGCAAAAAATAATGCTCTAAAATGACATTATCTTTACTTTTTATAATTTTCTACCGTGATATATAACGTTACCATGAAGGGGTTCAGTTTATACCCTGATATAAATTTGAGGTCATATCACCCAGCCCTACTAGAGATGTCCTGATCCAGATGTTCTGGCTCCTGATACAATCTGATTTTTTAATGATTAGTCTTTCTGATCCAATACCGATAGCTTTAGCATTTAGCTTTCTTTCTTTCCAAGTAACGAGGTTGGTAGTATTAAAGTGAGTCCTGCTGTTCCACCAGGAACATCCAGTTTACAGCTTCCAGTGAAAAGTGTTCCCACACTGTGGACATGGTTGTGTACTTGTGTGTGTTGACTTCTTAACAACAGCTGTAAAGCATGATGATGATGAAAACTGGATCGGCCCGGTCACATGACTAAATCTGGTTCTACCTGATTTTTAAAACATGTCTAAATCTCCCACTGATAGTGAGAATGTGATCAGGACGTCCCTGTAACCAGCTACAGGTGAACATGCTACAGGTGAACATGCTACAGGTGAACATGCTACAGGTGAACAGGCTACAGGTGAACAGGCTACAGGTGAACAGGCTACAGGTGAACAAGCTACAGGTGAACATGCTACAGGTGAACAGGCTACAGGTGAACAGGCTACAGGTGAACAGGCTACAGGTGAACAGGCTACAGGTGAACATGCTACAGGTGAACATGCTACAGGTGAACAGGCTACAGGTGAACAGGCTACAGGTGAACAGGCTACAGGTGAACATGCTACAGGTGAACAGGCTACAGGTGAACAT